GCGCCCCACCCTGCCGCCGGCCGCGTCTCGGGGGCGCGTCGGGCTTCGGACCCCGAGTCCCCAGGGACCCGGTGACCGAGAGGATCGCCCCCCTCCGGGGACCCGCGCGGCTGCCCCCGTCCCCCTGCGCCCCCGGGGGACCCGCGACGTCGCACCTGCCGCTTGGGGTCCTGCCGGGCGCGTTGGGCTTCTTACGGCGTCGTTGCTTATTTACGGAAAAAATTCCCCCAACAATAGGAACGTGGTTCGGTAAACCCCGGTAGGCAGCCACCCTACCGTGTTTATTACCCATAAACACACATTTTTAATGGAATGACCAGTGGGACACAGTATCATCATTTAAAATTATGTTGGTAAAGAACTTGGTATGGGAAGATGTTCCTGATATTTTAAGAGACGCCGGTCCAAGAAGAAATAAAATAAAACAAGAGATGCCGGTCCAGAATGGTCCTATTTTTATTTTTTTTAAATGAGTGTATGTGTATAAAATGACCAGTTTGGAAGCATGTAGTCTCTAAGGAGTCTTCTTTATAACAGTGAGACCTCAGGCCATTTTTACACATTTTCTAACTTTTTCAAATTTAAAAATTTTGTAATAATAATATTTTATAGAAGTTTGTGGTAATAATAGTATTTTTAAACAAGAAGGAGAGAGAAAAATAAATTGGAAAAAAACCTAAAGTGAACCTGAGTGGGGGACGGAAGGAGCCTTTGAAGGGGGCCCCCCTGTGGCCACAGGATGCATTTCCTTTCCGTTTCCCTTTCAGGTGGCTCCTTCCTGCAGAGGGACCTGCACCACGTGCTCCAGACTTCTGTGGGGCTGGGGGTCAGCAGCGAGGTCTCAGCATGCCCTTGTTTTCTCTCATCCGCCTGGGCAGACCAAGGCAAAGGGGTCACCCCCGATGCGTTCGTTGTGTATAAAAGTGCAGCCTCTTCAGGAGTGATGGTGGGGGAGACACTTAATTCAAACTATTTTGGGAGGTCTGTCGTGTGTGTGTGTGTGTGTGTGTGTGTGTGTGTTCGTTCCTCACTGATACTGGCCTGGCTGTTTTCCTTTGCCCTCAGCTCCCAGGGATTGCCACTCATGGTGCTGACAGAGACAGGGAAGGCGACGTGCCGGAGGGATAAGAGATTAATCAGGAGACTACTCCAGCAGTCTAAGCTTGAGGTGAGAAAAGGTCTGACTAAATGTAGCCCGAGTGGGAACAGAAAGGAACGGGCAGATCTGAGGGCGCTGTCAAGAATATGAAATGAGCTGTGGTAATCAGCTGCCTGTGTTGTTTACGTGAAAAATATTCCAGGATAATGCTAAAGTACTGAGTCTGAAGGGCCGGGAGTGTGCACTTGTGATAGAAATGAAGTGATCAGAAAGAAGAGCTAGTTTTCAGGGATATGATTTTTTTAAAATTCAACTTTTGCTTTATGCCAGGGCCATTTTGGGGTAGAAATGACCTGTCCTAGCAGATTCTCAGGTTAGCTCCATCAGAGTCTCTGGGGTGAGCTCATGAAGGACATGGATTTCTGGATCCCATCCCAGATTGATTGAATCAAAATAGGGAGGGGTCCTGAGTACTGTGGGGAAAACTTGCTTAAAAGAAGGTATTTTTAACAAGCTTTTAATAGGGATTAGGGTGGGGGTGAGGCTCTGGTACACAGCCAGGTTTGGGAAAGAATGACTCCCCCAACCTTCCCCCTAAGGCAAGGATCCATTGCAAAGCACCCCTGGTAGATGGCCTCCCAGCCTCTGTTCACAAAAAGAACAAAGACAAACCCCACCCCTTTGGACTGATTTAAGACCTCCATGGTCTTCCCACCATTTCCAATTTTTTGCCCAGTCTGTGTCATAAGCAGGCATGAGAATTTCCACTCCCATGCCTTTCCTCATAACCTTTCCCCTCCTCTTATAAACCTGGAGTCCACGCCCCCCTTGGCTGTCTTTCCCAGACCAGCTCATCCCCTAACTCCCACCGAGCCTTTCCACCCCAATCAAGCTTGCAGCCAACTCTGCCTTGGCCAAGCTCATAACTTTCAATATTGGTACCATTCAGTTGGCATTTAGAGAAAAATGTTAACACATGAAATAGCGTCCTAACTCATCTCATCTACACTAATAAAAGAGAAAAATGGTAATTGGCGTACGACCGCTACCCTTCCCATTGGCTAATCAGCATATCCTTATGCAAATTAACTGTCAGCCAAGATGGCGGCCGGCAGCCAGGCAGCTGGAAGCAAACATGAGGCTTGCTTGCTCCAGTGACTGCAGACTCCAACGTTCCCCGCCTGACTTGCCGGCCTCTGAGCTGGCAGTTTGAAACATTCTAACAAATATAGCCGGCTGGGATCTCAGAGCTGAAGTTATACATTGTTTCAATTATAGAACGGCAAACAAACCAGCAGCGGAAGCCTCAGAGCTAGAGCCAGAGCTAAAGCTGGCCCAGAAGAAAAAAAAAAAAAGAAAAAAAGGAGTGGTTGGGAGCTTCAGTCAACTGCCAAACTGAAAGCAGCCCTCAGCCCCTCACCCAGACTGTCCAGGCACCCCAGTGGGGACCCCCACCCTGAAGGGTGTGTGACCAGCTGCAAACAGCCATCATCCCCTCATCCAGGCTGGCCGGGCACCCCAGTGGGGACCCCCACCCTGATCCAGGACACCCTTCAGGGCAAACCAGCCGGCCCCCAGGCCTCTATCCTATATAGTAAAAGGGTAATATGCCTCCCAGCACCGGGATCAGCGGAGCCGCGAGGCCTCCTGGCACCAGATCAGCATGACAGGGTGCAGCGCCCAAACCCCCTGATCGCCCTGCGGCTCTGTGTGTGACAGTGGCGGCGCCCCAACCCCCTGATCGGCCCTGCTCTGTGGGTGATAGAGGGCGGCGCCCCAACCCCCTGATCCGCCCTGCTGTGTGTGTGACAGGGGGCGGTGCCCTAACTCCCCTATCAGCCCTACTCTGTGCGTGACAGGGGGGAGCTACCCAACCCCGATGGGCCCTGCTCTGTGCGTGACGGGAGGGGGGGTGGGGAGGCAGTGCCCCAACCCCCTGATTGGCCCTGCTCTGTGAGTGACAGGGGGCAGCGCCCCAACCCCCTGATTGGCCCTGCTCTGTGCATCACAGGGGGTGGCTCCGCAACCTCCCCATTGACCCTGCCTTGAGTGTGATAGGGGGTGGTGCCCCAACCCCCCAATCAGCCCTACCCTGAGCGTGACTGAGGGTGGCATCGCAACCTCCCAATCCGCCCTGCTCTGTGCATGACAGGGGGCGGCGCCCCAACTCCTCAATCAGCCCTGCTCTGAGCCCGACCAGGGGCTGCACCTAGGGATTGGGCCTGCCCTCTGCCACCCAGGAGCAGGCCTAAGCCAGCAGGTCGTTATCTCTCGAGGGGTCCTAGACTGCGAGAGGGCACAGGCCGGGCTGAGGGACCCCCCCTTCCCCCCCCCCCCGAGTGCACAAATTTTTGTGCACCGGGCCTCTAGTCTATATATATAAAAGCCTAAGTGATCATTACAACAGAACAACAAAACGACCAGAACGACTGGAACAACCAGTCGCTATGATGTGCACTGACCACTAGGGGGCACACGCTCAATGCAGGAGCTGCCCCAAGCTTGCATGCCCTGATCACCGATGGGGCCTGTGGGCCAACCTCCTAGTCCCTCCTTCTGGCCTGCAGGCCTCGATTGCCCGATAGGGGCCGGGCCCCCAGGCTGGAATGGGGAACCGGGGGTGGTGGTGGCAGACGAGGCCCCTTTCCCAGGGGAAGCCGAGGGCCGGCTCCCGCCTCAGGGCCGGCAGCCAACCTCCGGGGTTCCTCCCCCTGGCCCTCCCCTGGCCAGCAGGTCCCAATTGCCCAATTGGGGCCAGGCCCAGGGCTGGGACAGGGAACCAGGGGTAGGTGGCGACAGACATGGGTGTCAAGAGAAGGAGGAGAGGGGGAGGCAGGGAACCTGATCGGCCCTGATCACCGGCTAGGCCTAGGGACCCCACCTGTGCACGATTTTCATGCACCGGGTCTCTAGTAGATTAAGTTTCTTGAGAACAGAGGTTATATCTTATTTCTCTTCTCTCCTTATGGTGCCGGATACAGGGTAGGATTACAGAGCATAAAGTAATTACTTAGTACAAATCTTAATTAACTGTGATATGTGGTATGATCAACT